CAATTATGTTCTGCTCACTCCAAGCAAATAAATAAGTTAATATTGCAGTTTGAATAAAAAGGGATTTTCGCAACGATTCTTGACCTTTTTCTCCAGCTTCTTCACTCATGCTTCGCGGACCAAGTCTTCTTCTTCCGCCGCCAGAACTCATTCCGTGGTACATGTCTCCTGATCTTCCACCCCTTTGGAAAAAACGAATGTCAAATACAATGTTAAATGACTATTATGGCAGTAAAAATTGACCACGCAGTTTCATCTAAATACCTTTTTTGCGCATGCACACATTTGCTGGGACTATTAAAAATAACCGCTGTTTTATTGGAATTATTGGAATTTTAAACTCAACAAAATGTGGGACAATTTCGCCAAAAATGCAAAGGTGATGAAAATCACTTCCTAAATTATACCAGAAAAGTTTGAAACCAGAATCTGATCAGACAGCTCTTTTTTGACATGAAGAGAAAAATCCAGCCGAAATAAGTATGAAAGATCATAAAAGGATTGCCTCCCATTTCAATCAATAACTCCTTCTTCCCCTGCTTCCATTCAATCATATGAATAATTTTCTAGAGAATATAATGCCATCATCATAATTCACCTCAATAAATTGCAAAATATTTCCTATTTGATTCTTGAAAAATTCAAAACTATGGAACCTGATCAGGCAGCTCTTTTTTTGTGCAATACTATCCTAAGTTGTCAATTAAAGTTGATCAAAAGAAATAAACAATTATGTTGCATGCCTCTTTTGCTGTAAGTTATCATTTTGCTCTGATATTATAATCATGAGGAATAAATGAGAAGTGTTGAATCTCATGGTTGGGCCATTGCAAAACGTATAGACTTCTCTTTTAGAAAGGCAAAGGTGCAAACAGATATACTGTATTTGTTTATGACTGCGCATAAACAGAAATGGAACCAGGATGGCCAAAAGGTAACTGACCATAGTGACCAGCAGACACTGTGATATGACACAGTCTGTTGGGCAATTCATAAGTTGCTATATAACCATATTTTCAAAATGTACTGTAAATGGTGTATTATTAACGTGTTTTGGGACACACTTAATTCTTGGACAGCAGATGGTTCCTGGCCATCCTGTGGCAACATAGGGAATTTTTTCATGGAGACCCAGGGGCATTTTGGTTTGAGCAAATGTCACTGAAATGCCCCCAGATTGCCAATATAAGGCCTAAGTTGGGAAAAATCCAGGTGCAGAAAATCCCATTGTCCCAAGAAATGCCAACTGTTGATTGTATGTTAGGAATGCATGAAAAAAAACACCACCTATAGGGAGGATTTTTTTTAATTTGTGAGCCAAAAATGTTCTGCAGGATTATAAAAAAAATATCAGCCTTTTTCCTGACTTAGACCTTGGTTCAAAAAGAGTATCTTTTATAAATTTGCAGCCCTCATGAAGGGGAAACACTTTTTTTGCAAAAATATCCTGACTTTGCCCCACAAGGGTTAAATAAACAGTATTAAGATGACAGCATCAAGCAGAGAAAAACTCCTGCCCAAATAAGTGTTTTAGGATCTCATCCAAAAAACAAACAAAAAAATCTAGCCTGGCATTTCCATCCATCCATCAATCAATCAATAAATCCTTCTTCTCCTTCAGGTTCAATATTCAATCGCAAAAATAATTCATCATCAAACATCAAATACAATCCCATGGTCATTCTTTGTACCTCGACAAACTGTGGTGGTCTCGCCTGCTGTCTGACGCAATTCTCTCAGACTGAGTCGACAGTCCACTATTCATACTCGTCTCACTCTCAATATCCGAGTCCACGAGTTCCGCCCCGCCAACACCAGCTCCTCCTCTGATATCTCGGTCTCCACTCAAAATACCGCCACCAGACGACATGTGATGATGATGATGATGGTGGTCTCGCGATGACATACCGACACCACCACCACCACCANAAATTGGAATCTGCCATTTTTTTTAGAGGGAGAGAGATAGAGAAAGAATGAGCCGATTGAAATACAGCATAAATATAAGGAATATTATGTTCTGAGAAAGCAAAGAAAGACATTCACAAAAATCATCAAAACAATTCTTCAATCCAGCTGTCCTCAAATCTGTGCGGAATATATTATTTATAAAAATTGCGACTATATATAGGGAATGTTTTGAGAAATACAATGGCACTTATTACAATAATAAATACATGTAAATCAAACAGTTCACACAAGGGATTCAACTAAAGTTCTCGAGATAAAAATTGACATGATGTATATGATTGAGTTGGATAGGAATTTTTGTGCAAAAAAAACATTTTCTCTAGCACAAGAGAAAAATTCAGCCCTGTTTGACATATTTTCAAAATTGTTTTTTTTTGCAAAATTCACCATGGCAGCTTTCTGCCATTTTCATCAGTAATTCCACCATTAATCAATTTTTAATTCCACCATACTCAATTGTATATATACATAGGACAACTAAAATTTCAGAATATTCTTGAAACCAAATTTTTCCACATCCTGTTTCCTGAAATAAGAAGATAAAAATATGCTGAAAAAACAGAATTATTCTTCACAAAAGCATAATTTACATTTGTCACATTGAAAGATGTAATTATTATACTCTATATAAACATGAGTCTAATATTATTATAATGACTATGTTAAAAAATGAAGCAAAGATGATGGAGGACATTGGATTCTAATTTTTTTCAAATAATTTTTTCCGCAATCCTGAAACTAATGCATGACAAAAAGAAAAAATGATGCATAAGAACATGTACATTCACTTGTATACATACCGGCTCTGTAAGGCATTCTAGGCCTTGACTGATCATAGTACTGGTCTTCTGCACTCATGGAGTGATGCCTGTCCCTGTAGTACTCTTGTTGTTGGTACTGGTCTCGAGGTACTGATGATGATGAGGGGTACTGTTGTTGCGGTGGCTGACCCGGGATTTGAGGCAACTGGCGCTTATGAGGCGATTGAGCCACTGGCACTCTGTTGTCATAGTATCCAGCTTGTCGCCCACCAGGTGTCACTCCATACTCGCCTTGACGCATCATTCTTTTTCATTTCACCACAAAAAGAGAAAAAAACATAATTATAGACACACATTCCATAGAAGTTTGAAAGACATGTATTTGGACAACTGAAAGCCACATTATTTTTCTGGGATCACTATAGGAAAACTTCAAGTAAATCTCTGTTTATTTAAAAAAGTAATAAATTGATGGTTTGCACCTTTCTTGTGCTCATCATCAATTTTAAAGCAAACCGGCAAAATTAAGAATATTTTCTGAGATTAAAGTCCACAAATCAGAACATCATCCATGAGCAAAACAATCGAATTTCTTAGAAGAATATAATATAATGAATAATGTATGTGTCAAATCGGAGAAAAATACAGAAACAAATCAGAAACAAAGGGAGAATATTTGCTAGAATTTTCCTCATTAATTTTCTTCAGAATACCATTTTTTTTACACATACTGTGGTATTGATTTAGAATTTCTTTCTTATTCAAACGTAAGAATAAAAATTGAGACAAATTCATACACTTGAATGCATTCCTTGTGCATTTAAATTTGAAATTTTTCAAAATTTCAAGGCACAAAGAAAAATTGTATAACATTTTCTCACTGTATAAGTTTTTCGGCCGGAATGTCCTGAAATTCTTAATGATGTCATTTTGTCTCATGCAATATATATTCTTTCCAAGACTGCAGTTTCAGCAATTGATAAAATTGAAAACTTCAGTACAATAACTCGATCTGCGGTATTCTTCACATTTTTCAATTTGAAATAATTTGCAAAAAAAGAAAACCTGGCATTAGGGGAAATTGAGCGCTGTTCAGAGCCTCTCCAGTAGCCGTCGTCAGAGGACCTGATGCTTGAAGACCTGGACGCCGAGAAGGACCTTTGCTGGTACTGCTGTCGGTACTGCGACGGCAAACTGGTGCTGCCAGAATCGTAGGACTGCTGGTGCTGCAAATCCGCTCTTGTTCTGCGCTGCTGCTGCTGTTGATGGCCCTGTTGTTGCCCGTAATAAGGGTCCATCATGTCCATCGAAGGGGGACTGATGAAGGAAGGAAAGAAAACAAACAAGAAAACTAAATTAATCAAAGATGGGCGCTCCTCTTCTGTTGGCAAAAAAGACATTGAAAAGACTCAGAGCGACATCTGTTCA